TATTATTATTATTATTATTATTATTATTATTATTATTATTATTATTTATTTGACTTGTCCCCGCCCATCTCCCCACAACGGGGGATTGTATTGGAGACAATACAATCTCCAACAATTTATACCTTTTCTTTTTAGACTCAGCCTGGTAATGTCTATTAATTTGTAGCTATATACTGGATGAAATCCCAGTTTTGTGAAAAACAGACATGATTACTCAATCACTTAAAAGGTCTGGCTGAAGAGGAAGAACTTAATTCCTTTTCTGGATGTAGAAAGACTGGTGACTTCCCACAACCTTGGAAGGAAAGTATCCCCTGCCTTGGGAATGATGCAAGAAGGAAGACGTAGATTTGATTGCTTTGCTTCTAATTTTCGATGAGTGGAGAAAAAAGGAGAAAGGGAATGAGAGAGTTTGAGAGGGGCTGGTTGATTAAAAGAAACCCCTACATTCCAAGGCCAGAGGACTCATCAGAGCTTCCCCAAACATGGTGTTGGGAGAAAGGCTGTTGATGAATCCTATAGTCATCTTGTGCTGTTTCTTCTGGAATGTAAACTACAGTTTTGCTTCTCTGCTAAGGGTGTCTCCGATGACCCATCGCATTTTAGAGAGGGACTTTGGTGTTTAAGGCAGTGTTTCTTCATGACTAGTTCCTTTCTTTCCGGTTCCTACATAAAGTTCAAAGACCCTTGCGTATTTTCTTGGATAACATGCTTAGTAAGCTGTACCTCTTCAGGGTGTGTGGGTGTGGGTGTATTTAAGAACTTACTCACAAAACAGTAAGAAAACAGTGACGTCTGTTTTTAAACCCCTGTCACATGCACATGAAAACTCGGAAATTTGCCAACATTTATTCTGATGAAAGGGCAAGTATTTCAAAACAAGCAAACATAAAGTTATACAGATCTCTCTTTCTAAAAAGTGAAAATTTTTAAACACCTATCAAAATCCTGGGGTGGGTAGGCTCCATCCTCTCAGAATCCCACCCCTGAAAATGGTTTCCCATTCTGCTGTAAAATTTAAGTTACACCTATGGGTGGGTTACCCATGCTAATCCATGTGAGATACCAAGATGCCTTCTTCTCTTCTTCACTTCTTCGTGCCTTCCATTTTGTGCACCAGAACGGCCCCTGCCCTCCATGTATACCATCACAGAGACAAAGATTCATTTCTCTCAAGAAATGTACATTTAGAACTTCATGTAGAAAAGGCAGAAATGCCTTGGTTTCTGGCGTAATTTACTGAATAGCCTTGATATGAGAAATGTAATGGTCAGGAACCCAAAAAGGGAAGACTGCTCATCAGTAAGAACCCTGGGGACAGCCTGAGCACAGGTTGACTACCCCATTTCTTTACAACGGTTCACACTGCTGAAGAGACAAGATGCTGGGTAGTTTAAATATCTTTATCCTTTTAGAATCACCTGAACAAAAGAAAAAGCTAGGAAAATGTGAATTGAGCATCCAGATCTCTTACACATTTCTCATGACTTTTCTTTGGAGTCAATGTAGCACTTGTTTGGCTTGTGGAATTACAGAACACCAAACTCCTGTCTTTTGTCAGGTTGATCCATTTCCACAGTATTTTTGGGAAGGAGGATTAACTTATTTAGGAATTGCTTAGAAGAATTCTTCAATGCTTTAAAAATAAGGGAATTAATTATGATAAATATGAATTAAGCACTTCAAAATGCTATACAGGGAAAAATATGAAAGCAAAATAAATCTATAGATGTATGCAGGGTAACTAGAACCCAGTAGCCATCTTCCATGTCTCTGCTGATAGTCTTTCTTCCTAATTTTTTTTCCTTCTTGTATACCCCAAAAATATTTGCATCTTTCACAAACAAATGTGTATTTTGTTTTGTTTGTCTACTTTGGCACGTCTCACCAACTTGTGGCTGATTTCTTTTGCATCCCTAATTCCTGGCCCTTTTGGAAGAGAAATATCAAGGAGGGAAACTCTTTCAGAGTTTCTGCCCCAGGAGGGGAAAAGAGGGAACACATGTTGAGGAGGCTGCCCTCTGCTTTTGGGGAAAAAATCATTAAAAGGATCAGTTCAGAAAAAGCATATAATTCACACACAGCAAAGGCAAAGGGAGAAGGAGAAACAAAGGTGCCAGTTGCAACAGTTCCTGTTCAGATTTGTCTGTGAGTTGCTTTATTCTGGCATCCCACTTTTATATTATTCTGAAAGAGTCATGTAATTGGACAGTTCCAAATGCCTGCCAAAACTCTGCATAACTCCGTTCTGTTGATAGAAATCATTAAAGTTCTTGTAATTTCGTTAGTTACAATACTTTGGCGGGTTACTAAAGATGGTGCTCTTACCTTATGTTGTCTGTGAAATGAATTATGGCAGAGTCAAAGAAGAGACATGGGGGGGGGGAGCAGTTGCCCAGGATGACATTCTAGAAAACCTGCTTTTGACATCAGTGATATTTCTTTAGTACGTGCCTGAAAGCCAGCTAATAGTTTCTGATCAAGACATCAGTAAAGTGAACCAACCTCTGCAATGATGGGATGGCATTTTTCCTATATGGATTTTTGTAGAATTCAACTTTATAGACATGGCAAACTTATGGTTTTAAGAAATAGCAAGATCTCATGCCATTTCAATAAAAGATACAACGTATAGAATATTTCTTGATGGCACGGTAGCAAATTAACTGCTGTCCTGATTTAAAAGGGAAAAAAAGTAATGATGGAATAATAGCAGAATTATCCATTGGAATAATTATTTGGTTTTACCGATGAGAAAACATTTCCTCATATCCAGGAAGAAGGGTCACAGATATCAGATAGACTATATAGGAGAGGCGGTCTTATTTTATTGATCTGAATGTTGCAGTGGTTACTCCAAAAGAAAGTTTGGCAATCCTAGATCAATCAAGCCCAGCCAATGCTTGAGTTATATTAACTTTTTGAGTATTATCTATGCCTACCCAATGCAATTAGTTGGCAATCAAAATACCTTGGCTTCTGATGAAAAATAGCCATACCTGATAAACTTTGTATGGAGAAAAAAATGCCTCAGCTCCCCATATTTCTCAAAAGTTACTACCTTTCTGAAATGAAAACATCTTTTAAGATAATGAAGGTCCATCCCTGCCTCCAACTTTAAATCATATTTCTCTAGCCTTTCGAAATTACAAGGTCAATGTCCAGCTGATCAAAGGATGGCATTAATCCCAGAGAATGTACCCAGGAACTAATCAATAACAGTTAAACCAGGCAGCAATATTTGAATATTTAGCAAGACTTTAGCAAGAAGTTGTATTATGTAGGATTAGGTTAATTATATCTTACATCTCCGGGTAAATATTAGGCTTACTGGTTTCACAAATTTTACCAAAGAGTAGTTATTCATTAACTTTCTCCAATAAATAAGGTTTCCTCTATGGTTCTGTCATTTCCACAATGGAAAACCAATGGTTCATTCTCTGGGTGGCTTTGTCTTCACAAATCGTATTAGCAGATGCTGTTATCCATCAGGTACTTGCCTTCGTTGATGCTTAATTGTTCTTTAAAATGTGAGAGAAATATATATGCCTCTGATTTTTAATCATTCAACTAATTTTACAGGTTGAAAATAAGAACAAATGACTATCTGAGAAGAACCAGACTTAGAGCGGGGGTAGATATGTTGCATTGTAACTGAACATGCTCTTTAGAAATGGCATGTGTGACTGTACTTGGGTATGTGTATTATTAGTGTAAAGACATAACTGAAGGTTAATAAGAGCAGTTTGGCAGGGGAATCAGCTCTCCAGAGAGGTGGCAGCAACTCATTCAGCGTGTTCAAAGGGATACATTAATTTGGATTTCTCCACTGAGCAGGGATTGGATTCAGGGGCCAAAATGGGTTCAACTCTTGGATTCTAAGTTCAGCCTATCAGACAGATGGAGTTAACCTCCCCTATCCTCAGCCTGTGGAATGAGAGTTCTGTTGGGGTTTGGGTATTGTCTGTTGTCACAACTGAATAAGGGTATCTTCCCGAAATCATTTGGGGTTTCCGGTTAGAAGAGATGACGACAGGACAGGTGTAATTGCAGCTCAGAGAAAAGGAAAACTGCAGCGCGGATAGCCAGTGATCCTGCGGAGTCAAAAAGATGGGCGGACCACGGAGGCAACGCTGACAGAGAGCACTGCTGGCAAAGAAATCTCAGCGGGTCCTGAAGGCAGGAGAGACCATCGCTTTCATTTTCATTTTCATGAAAGAGTTCAGCCAGGGAGCTAGGAGGTAAAATTGGTGGAGACCATGTTTGTAGCCCGGTTGTTTGGGCTTGAGTCGCCGTTCCTCTCATTTCTATTGAAAGCCGCTTCTAAATAATTACAGAGGAAAGAAAGGAAAGAGACTTTCTAAACAGAAGAGTGAATTATACACTTCTAAGGGGGAATCACTGTTTCAAGACCCAGCTGGAAAAGGACTTATTTAATTAATTGTCGCATATTGCCATATTGTTTAGAAAACCTATTAGAGTATGTTAAGCTATTAGGCTGTGTACAGAGTATAGATAGATAAGAATAGTTATAGAAATATTCTTTGTTGAAATGTATAGATATATTGTATAAATATAGAAATATAGTAAAATAGAAAAATAGAAAAAATGAACACGAGGAACCAGAATAGGAAGGGGTTGGAAGTGGGAGGAGAAAGAGAGTGGCTGAGAGCCATGTTTGAAGATTTCACAAAAAAAACAACTCAAAGTATTACCCAGAACTTAACGCAGCTATTAGAAGCTAAAATAGACGGGTTGGAAAAAAGATTAGAACAGAGGCTGGAAAAGATGGAAAGAGGAATGAAAGAAGAAATTCAATGTATAAGAGAAAGAGTTGAGAAATTAGAA